TGCATCCAGAGGGCCCTGATCCGCAGTCAGGAGCTGGGCGATGAGAAGATCCAGATCGTGAGTCAGATGGTGGAGCTGGTGGAGAACCGCACCAGGCAGGTGGACAGTCACGTGGAGCTCTTCGAGGCACACCAGGACATCGGTGACAGCACTGGCGGCGGTGGCAAGGCCGGCCAGGACAAGTCGAAGAGTGAGGCGATCTCTCAGGCGGACAAGCCCAACAACAAGCGGTCCCGGAGGCAGCGGAACAACGAGAACCGAGAGAACGTGTCTAATAATCACGACCACGACGACATCACCTCAGGAACACCCAAGGAGAAGAAAGCAAAAACCTCAAAGAAGAAGAAACGCTCCAAGGCCAAAGCAGAGAGGGAAGCCTCTCCCGCAGACCTCCCCATCGACCCCAACGAGCCCACGTACTGTCTGTGCAATCAGGTCTCCTATGGAGAGATGATCGGCTGCGACAACGATGAGTGTCCCATCGAGTGGTTCCACTTTTCTTGTGTGGGACTCAACCATAAACCAAAGGGCAAGTGGTACTGCCCCAAGTGTCAGGGGGAGAGCGAGAAAACAATGGACAAGGCCCTGGAAAAGTCCAAGAAAGAGAGGGCTTACAACAGGTAGTGTGTGGACGTGCACACGGGCAGGAGAACAAACCCAAGTCCCAGGATGGGCAGATGAGTATTTTTAGAGACTGGTAGAAATGGACCCTCTCCTCGGGATGGCAGAAACAGCCTGTGTCTTCATGGTGTACCTGTAACCAGACTGGGTCTGCAGATCAGCGTTTTAGAAACTACCAATATAGGTTCGAATTAAACACGTCAGCAAGTGTCAGACTGGTTTTTGGGGTTGGGGAGTGACTTGGAAGTAACCTAACAGATGTATAAAGAAGAGATTTAATTTGGCTGTTTCCACAAAAATGTTATGGTTTACAAAAAAAAAAAAAAATTATCCAGGTTGCTGAAGTACAGCAAGTGTGCTTCTCGCTGCCATAATGTATATCCACATGACAAGTTGGTCAAAGGTTTAAAGTCTAAATATTATTTTTTAAAAAGGTTAATGGGTAAATTTTACATGACATATTTTATACATGGCCTATTCCCCAACTGGCCATTTTTAATGACTGGGGACATTTTTAATAGGTCAGACACAAGCGGTCCAGGTCTTGCCTTCGCTACCCTAGGTCATCGTGTGGCCACCTTTAACTTATGAAGTGTATAAATGTACATTTTCCAGCCACCTTGCCCTGCTGTATTATAACCAGAAGTGCAGCCTGGTGCTGTTGTGAAGCCGAGGTGTGCGTCCTGCTGCGTGTGTGAGCTGTGTAGATGTTGCGTCAAGAAATAAATGAGACTTGGCCAGTTTGTTTCTTTAGCATTTAATTTTAACATACAAATCATTTTAAATTTTTTGTCTTAAAAATTTATACACCAGCAGTTTAGACAAAGCCTTAAGCAAATTGTATATTATTGATCTCACGTAATAAGGAAGTAGACATTATGTCTATGCCAGCAAATAAATGTCAAAAAAATACTTAGAGCAGAGGGTAGAAAGTGACTGTGTGTTTGAGAGCCAGCCCCACCGTTCGTTTTGTGTGGCCTGTGAGCTAAGAATGGTCTCTGTGTTTCTAAGTGGTTTTAAAAATCACATTTCATGCTACATGAAAGTCCTATGAAATTCAGATTGGAGTGTCCATAAATAAAGACTCATTGGAACACAAAAAAAAAAAAAAAAAAGAATATTTTGTTTTGTTCTGTTTTGAGACAGGTCCTCAGGCAATCTAGGCTAGCCTCAACCTTGCTATGAAGTTCAAAATGACCTTGAACTCCTGATCTTCCAGCCTCGACCTCTGGATAACTGAAAGGTTACTATTGTGGAAATAAATGGATAATAACATCCTATTACATTCCAGGTATTCATCCCTACCGTATGTCTAACACACTTAATTCACAAGGACTCTATAAGGTATGAATGTTGGTTTTTAAATATGCAGCACTGGTTACCATGCGAGAAAGGTCACAAGGCACGAGGCATGACAAAACCCAGTATCAGAGCTTTGTTGGGAGGAGGTGGGGGAATGACAGAAAAGAGTACCCAGGCCTGGGAAGAGGCACACGCAGAAAGAGAGAGAGTGGGGGGTGGAGAGCAGAAGGAGAGAGAGGAGGAGTCTGTGTGGGGCTTTTAAGGATTCCCCTGCACATGCGCAGGTGGGCTCACGGAGCTACGCCACACATGTGATTGCATGACAGTGCTGCACACATTTGCACAATCACACAGCACACTGATGACATAAGACATAAGACCCCTCGCTTAGCTACTGGACGGCGCATATGCAGTCATATAGCTGGAGTGGCAGAATCCTAACAATGAATTACAATTTTTTTTTATAACAAACTAAAACACTTGGCTAGGCTCTCAAAGTTGGTAGTTGTTAGGACATAGATTTGAGTCCAGTCTAATGCTCATCACACCCCAGACCACCTGTGCTCTCCTCCTAACAGCTGTAGAGTCATGACTATGAAATCCTTCTAGTACCTGCAAGAAACTTACTATAAAACGTCCAATTGCACTCGGTTTTTACATTTACCTGGTTCTTGTTCAGAACTCCCAGAATCTCCAAAATAAAGAAGGAATAACAATGAAGAAAGGGCTAAAATTTTGTTCGCTGACTGCAAACCCTTTTGGCATTTTCTCAGATGCTAAAGATTTTGGACCACTAAATACTTAAGGTATTTACATCTTTTATGTAATGAAAGCTGGTTTTCCCCAAAGAGTCTACTGGTAAGGTAACAGATGGCAATGTCCACCATGGGAGGAAATGTTTCATGAGTAGGTGATGTAGCCATTATCAGGGTACTCAGGAGTAATGGCCCAGGAACGGAATACCTGTCTGGGAGTTTGGCAAGATGAAACAAGAAAAGCAAAGCTGTAATGGTAGAAATGAAGAGCACAAGCACACTCATTGTATGAGGCTATGCTGGGGTCCAGCCTCTGCTCAGGTTCAGGTCCTGAGATGGGGAAGGGGCATCAGCACAAGGAAGGTTCTGACCCAGGTGCTCAAGTGGCCCCAAATAGCTTGAGCCATCTTTATTTATACTTTGACAGATTTTTTTTCTACCAGGCTTATATGAACAGTTTTATTATTGGCTCCTATTTTTCATTAAGAAATACATCATAGTCGTTATAAAAGTCCCCATTGTCACCCTTTATGCTTCCTCAAATACACTTCCCCATCCTCTTATTTTAGACGTAGAGTTCAGCATTTTTGCAAGCTTAACTAAATTCGGAGCCAGACACATCCTACTTTTGTAGTATTTACACCAGCTGGCAGCTATTTGCAGTTACAAAGTTAAAAAGTAATGGACATGGCTACAATGCTTTAAAGACAAAAGTATTCTAACCCAAACACTTCCTTCATGTCTCTAAGATATGTTCTTATACAGTTCCCTTTTCTGTAAGAGGGTTCCATGTCTCAATCTCTATAAAAGGCAAACTTTGATACGACACTCTTTTCCCATCCCATCATGCCATAGTTCTTTCACCAATATAAGCCCCCATGTATGGGAAAGATGAATCTATCCATCCCAAATTTTGCACTGCATTTTCCCTCACTGGATCACACCAGATCCTACCATTGATTCTCTATGCTTGGTGTCCAGGGAACTTACTCTCAACAGTCGGCACTATGTGCATTCCTGAGGCTTTTTCCCTATTCTGGGTATGCGTGCCTTTCTCTCCTTCCCAGAACTGTGAGACAGGATTAATGTTCAAGTATTGTTTTCTCATATGCATCTGTTACTTTCTACCACTACACTTCCATGAGTCTCCTCCTCCACAAGGTGGTTCCATCTACCTTTTCCTTAGAGCAATTATGGAAGCAAGATCCAGTAATTTTAACTGCCTTTATAGAGTCAGAAAAGTTCCTAGGATTAAGAGTTGGAATTAATAATTCCAGATAAGAAATTCCATAAGCATCAGCCTCCTGCTGATTCTAAGGGGAGAATATTTGAGAAAGAACAGAATTTCCAGGGAAAATTACAGCATGTAGCACGTGTGACTGACAAAGTGAAACTAAAAACTGCCCAAAGAATCAACAATATAATGAGAGAGAAGAGAGCCTGCAAGCTGCACGAATTTTACAAATTCCTTGGTCCTTGCCAAGTGAGAATCTGTTTCCATGGGTGCCTTGCCCCGAGGAAACCCACTGGACAGGCAGCCATATGCTGATCCAGGGTCAGGCAGCACAGCTCCCAACAGAAAGTTATAGTCACAAGAGAGGGTTGGCTGCCAGGCAGATCCATGTGTTGACCATACACAGACATGCCTTCAGTTTAGTATGGCCCTGTTTATATTTTAGGCCTATTTGTCTCCACTTGTACATAACAATCGTCTGAGGATTGTCTTTAAATTCTGTCTTAGTTAGGGTTTCTATTGCTGTGAAGAGACACCATGGCAACTCTAATAAAGGAAAACATTTGATTAGGGTGGCTCACTTATAGTTTCAGGGGTTTAGTCCATTATCATCATGGTGGGACCTGGTAGTGTGCAAGCAGACATGGTGCTGGAAAAGGAGCTCAGAGTTCTACACTTTGATCCTCAGGCAACAGAGGAGACTCTGTGTACCACACTGAGTATAGCTTGAGCATATAAGACCCCAAAGCCCAACTCCGCAGTGAAACATTTCTTCCAACAAGACCACACCTCCTACCAGTGCCACTCCCTATGGGTCAAGCATTCACACACAAGAGTCTCTGGGGGCCATCCCTATTCAAGCCACCACAAATACCGATTCTGGTTCCATGGAGCTGAGATGCTCTACTTTGATGTGTTTGCATTTGCATAACATCTATGATACAGACTAGAAGATCAAACATTAGTAAGCAAATCTCTAGTACTAGGAAAATTCTCATGTAGGAAGCTACCTCAGAATAGCTCACAAAGGAAGTCTAAAGGAGACAAAAATTTTAGAGAAACTTCCTAAGAAAAAATAAGATGGTACTGTTTTGTTGTTGTTGTTTGTTGGGTTTTTTTTTAAGAGATGACTTCACATTTCTTAATTTGTAATAAACTAAATCTATAAGGACTTAGAATCTGAAAACTGACTCATACCAGGAAGACAGACCAGGAATATGTTTAATTCTGCTGTACAAATTGTAAAAATTCACATTCTTTTACAAATTTTATATTTACGACTCTTGGGTATGAGAAAGCTTTTGTCAGTTCTGTGTAGGCCACAGACCTAACACTAGCCAGTTTCCCCAGCCTAAAGCATTGCTGTAGCTACTGTTGGTTTCTCTGATTTCTCCCATCTATGCATGTGGTCCTCAGGGACAAGACCTGAGGTGACTGATGCTCCTTGATTTGGTGAATGATTTACCCATTATGACATTTCCTATTTGGCGGTTGACCCCATCAGTGCAGCCCAAGAGTCCTTGACACTCCTGAGCCTCCCCTCTCACCTGCATGCTTTAACAACTTCCACGGACTCTGTGCGTCTGGTATTATTCTTCTAGTTGTTAATATGCACACCTCCTTAGGGATAGGACTGAAGTATTGCTGTGTCCAACAATAATGATCAAATGACCTATGACTGTCTAGAGTGACTTCCTCCCCATACATGACAGCATCAAAACACAACCTGCTCCTTTTCCTCCAGTTGTCTCTCTCTCTCTCTCTCTCTCTCTCTCTCTCTCTCTCTCTCTCTCTCTCTCTCTCT